TTTGTTCTTAGCCCCATAGTCCTTTAGAGAAGGGGAATAAGCAATAATCATTGTTTTGACTTTGCCTCAGTAATTTATATAATCCAAGGAGTCCACCTATGTAGGCTAAAGTGCATTGCAAAGTAATTGTGTGTAAATTAGATTTTAATTTCATAAGAATATATTATTTTTCACTAAATAAATAATTGACCATTTCACGAATTGCATACTGAAAATCCTTGCTAAGAAATATTATGGAATATTCTTCTGTACCCTTTATGTCCCAATGCTTCTAGTGTTTTATAATTATATTTGGCTTTAGGCCTGAAGTTACTTGCCCAATGATGCAATTTATCACTTTTATGTGTTACTTCCAAATGATTTCAGTGTGTTTTATGCATGTAAAAACTGCAGGACAAGTCCCTGAAGATTATGAGAACAGATTTTTGAATTACATGGTGAATTTTTATTTCTAAAATATTGACTTTTCTACTTAGGAAATAATATTGAATGCCCTGTGGATAAGATATGTACAGTGAATACCAAAGTGGACTGAGGATTGCTGAATTGGAGCTAACTGCTCTGTTCACTGAGAGGCAATCACGGGAGTGATCTGGGCTCTTTGTTTTCTTACGGCCATGTCTGATGCTCTTGTATAATAAAGGAAGCGGCTTGAATTGTTGCTTGAATCAACAAGCCCTGATCACGGACTCACTGAAGAACTATTTATGAAGAATGTACTATTTACCTTGAGATAGATGTCATAGGGGATATAGAAGGAAACTGTACTTCCTGTTCTCATAAAACCTGACTACAGAGACATGGCTGCGGCATGCAAAATCAAGAGAGAAAAACTGAAGTATGTTCTCATACTTCAGTATTGGGACATAAAAGCTACAGAAGAATATTCCATATTATTTCTTAGCAAGGATTTTCAGTTCTCAATTCCTTAGTATATCTTTAAAAGCTACAGGACTCAAGCAAAGAGAAAAATCAGCAGAGCGAGGGTATTAAAGAAAGATATTAAGGGAAGAATCTATTTTGGATGTTCTTCTACCTGGAATGGAAAATCGAATTTAGAAGAGGGAAGGTGAATCCTGTACTTCATCTTTGCTCCTCCTAACTTGGCCTAACAGTGTAGAGTAGATATTTGCTGAAAAGTTATTATGTGACTTTGAATGATATGGCTATCCAAAGACAAGAGAAGTGATCTAGTGATCTGGTGATTTAAGCAGGCAGAACAGTATCACTAATGAACAGAAGTGTAAATGAGCTAAACTTGTTTAGGGCAAATAGAGTAATAATCTGGCTTAGAATGAAAGGTCAGTGGTAAAAAAATTTCAGAACCTAGGATTTCACCTACAAATATCTTTTGATAATATATTAATAATATGTTATCAAAAAATTGTTAAATAATAAATCTTGGCCAGGCACAGTGGCTCAAGCCTGTAGTCCCAGCACTTTGGGAGACCGAGGCGGGTGGATCACAAGGTCAAGGGATCGAGACCATCCTGGTCACCATGGTGAAACCCTGTCTCTACTAAAAAAATACAAAAAATTAGCTGGGCATGGTGTGCCTGTAATCCCAGCTACTCGGGAGGCTGAGGCAGGAGAATTGCCTGAACCCAGGAGGTGTAGGTTGCGGTGAGCTGAGATCGCGCCATTGCACTCCAGCCTGGGTAACAAGAGCGAAACTCCGTCTTAAAAAAATAAAATAAAATAAGTCTTAAACGTCCACCTAGTTTTTAATAATTCCCATATAAACAAATAGCTATCAAGTTTTATTATAAATTATTTGGGAAAAGTATGATGGAATTGTTAGAAGCACTGCTAATCAAGACCTATGCTTTACCTAATTAAAATTTTCTAGACCTGTAAACTGGTTCAGGTGATCTGACTGGGAAAAAAAAAAGTTGTTCCTACTATGATTTTTTTAAAATTCCTAATTCCTGTGGCCACTTCCTTACCCATTTTCAAACCTCTTTTCCTGAAGAGAGTCTGTATTTTCCTGAGTATAGTCTGCCATAGTCAGAGTAGGCTTGATGTGATAGTTAATTTTAGTTGTCGCCTGGACTGGGATGAGGGATACTCAGATAGATGGTAATGCTTTTTATTTCTGGGTATGTCTGTGAGGGTGTTTCTGGAAAACGGCATTTGAGTCAGTAGGCTGAGGAAGAAAGATCTGCCTTCACCCAGTGTGATCAGGCACCATCTAATTAGTTGAGGGCCGAATATTACAAAAAGGCAGAGGAAAAATACATTTGCTCTCTGCTCTGGAGCTGAGACACCCATTTTCTTCTGCCCTTAGACCTCAGAACTCAGGGCTCTTTCTGGCCTTTGGTCAGGGGACACCAGTGACCCCCGTTTCTCAGGGCTTCCGTCTCATACTGAGAATTACACCATTGGCAACCTTGGTTCGTAGGCTTCCCGATTTGACCGGGTTACTCCATTGCGAGACTTCTCAGCCTCCATAATCAAGTGAGTCAACTCCCATAATAAATTCTGTCTTATCCCTAACTAACATATACTTGGGTAGAAACTACGTTGGGGCTAGGTTACCGCAGAGGGCCTGGAAGAGGAAAAACCTTTAGAAACGCGGAAAGGCCAAGATTCACTAACTGAGAAAGGTATACCCTGGGCAATTTATTCAGCTGCAGAGGCTGGGCTTGATGAAGAGTCTTCCAAAATGAATAGAAAATGAAAAGCTAAGACATAGTATCAAAAATAAGACCAAAGGCAACAGTTTAATCTGCATTGCTTTCTGATGGGGGCCCGGTTTTGACAGAAGCCCATCCAGTGACTGGATACATGGTGAGTGGAATTGAGCAAATGAACTAGCAAGGGTTGACTGAGGTATCAGAACTGCAGCCTAAAAGGCCGAGAATTGAGGATCTGAGATACAAACCAAGATAAGAGAAACACAAGAAAAAATGAGAGAGTGTTACAAGTTAAGCATTAAATGTTTGCTAAATTTTCCTTTGATGCACAAATACAAGGCTCGATTGCAATTAAGGAGTGCTACATTTGGGTGTCTTGGGGTGTCTATGCAACATAGAGGCACCAGAATAATACTGCTCCATAGAAACAGAAGAACAATACCTATATTCCTATAGTTAGTGTTTAAAAAAAATAGAAATTCCGGAAACATAAGCCCCTATGACAATTTTTTGAATGTCTAAATGAAGAAATGAAAGAGTAAGTAAATGATGGTCTTGTCTTTGAGGCCAGGATACTTTAATCCAAATTCTACCAGATGCTAGAGCTGATCCTACATTAAGTCTTGAGTCAAATGTGAAGACAGCAGTAAATTTTTCACAGACTCAGCAAAACATAAGGCCTAAACAGTAAATACTTCCTATTTCTTGCTTTTGTTGGCTTTGGTTTCCATCTGTGTCGATGTGTCTTAAAGTTTTGCCTGAAAAGGTAACAGTGTAAACCAACCAGTTACCTCACTGTTTGCTTCAGAAAATTCCTAGAGATCAATTAACTGAAGATAAAAATCTTCTCATGTGAACAAACGTCACTTATTAAGTAACAGTATACCCACTTCAACTCCATCCCTGTACTGCATCCACCAATCCTAAAGTATATTGTATCATGAACTTTGCTCAAACTCATTTTCCCACCTTGAAAGACTTACTGTACAAGACTTCAGGTCAGACCCTAAAGGCCTCTTCTGAACCCTGCTTCCTTCTGGGTCACTTCTAAGCCTTGCTCATTCTGTTCTGCAGTGAGCTCTAATCAGTTTATTTTTGCATTTTTAATAAGTTGTCTTTTAATGGTTTGGTAAATTCAACACTTTTTATAAACTTGATGCCTGTTGTTACGAATAACTATAACAAACTTGATTTCTCGGTATCGAAACAAGCACTACAGCCAAGAAAAAGGAGGATCTCATAAGGGGATGCAGTTACTAGTCAATAGGCTAGTTATTGGTATGATCACAGATGATTTTAAACTCAGAAATGTAAGGCGCTAAGTACTAAGCAAATTTCTGTGATTACGTATAAAGTCATCCAGTAGACCTGTCACACAAGAAGGATGATACAGTATTATAAAGGGCTGAAAGGTAAATGTGGATTTTAATGTGCAAAAGATCAAAATTCTAAATGATGTACTACATGCATAATAATGGAGAGAAACCAAGCAACTAAACTATTATTAGTGATCATGAATAATTCACAACTAAAGCATCATCAATACTAGCAAGAAGCAAATTTGTGATTTTAATTAATGTTTAACAAACCAGAACTATTCTGCCTTAAAGTACATGATAAATGACAGGGATAAAAAGCACAATATTTTTATCATTTAACACCATTATTAAAAATCAGCTTTAAAAAATGCTTTTTGGAGCTTCTTACCCAACTCATTATTTGCAAAATTCAGATAAGCAAACTAAACTTCAGCACTTTTTCAAGTTGAATTGCTCAAGTACTATTTATGGAACATCATATATTTAATAGAATCCATCTTTAATTCAATAAATGTGAAAATAATGTAGTAGTTTTTATAATATTAAATAAATTATAACATTCGATGAAAGTTTCTTCTATCATTTTTTAAAAAGAGAAGAATGCTAAATTAGCTTATATTCTCTTCTCAAAATATAATTTTCTAAGGCCAGGAACTAGTAGAATTCTAAGTCAAGTTTTACCTCTGAGAATGGAAGTCATCTGTAGCCATAGCTTTACTCCCTAAATTAACACGACTTAATTAGCCCAGGAAATTCTTGCGTAGGAAATGAAGTTGTAGATAACATTATTCTTTCTTCAGAAACTCTATTTGTTTCAAAATAGACTATTCACAATGCTTTCATCCGAATGAAATTGTGACAATCTTCTTACAGCCATAGATCACTCAATTAGATTCATCGAATATGTGTTATCACGTTTTACAAACCTGCTTTACAAACCTTGCTGTGTCCACCAATCCTCACTATTATACCACCAACTTCGTCCAACTCTAATCAGCATTCCCCAAACTACCCCACTAAAATTATATGAGAAAAATCCCCCTACCTTCTGTTAGATGACAAAAACCATGTAAATACTCCCTTCCGAGGCACCATGAGATACACTGGCCTTCGTTACTGCAGTTGGGTATAATTTTGGCTTTTCTTGCTCAACAGGTCATATTGATAATTCTCTGGTGAGTCAACAGTTGATACCTGACAAATGTAAAATTCAGAATCAATGCAAGTTGGAAAGGGGCAGGAAACTAGCTTCAATATTATACAATTTAATAATATACTAGTATATTATTACAGATGCACATACATAGTATATATTATATATGTTCATAGTACACATACATATAACATTAATGAACTTAAGTAAATTCTTTCATATGAATATTAGAATGTCCCTCCAAAGAGTAAAAATTTTTGAAATAAACCCAAAAAGACACCTTTCAGGATATTTATATAAAGGAGAGTATCCAAAAGTGTTCATTTTTGTGTTTTCAATCCTTATCACTCTTACAAAAAGATCCAGTTGAAAATACATAAAATTTGGTTGGAAATGAGACAGCTGCTGCCAATTGGAAGTAAGTTACACATTCACGACAACTGGAAATAAAATGAATTCGTGGGGGGAGTATTTTTACATCTGCCTCTGTAAAGTGCTATTTATGGGAGAGGTGAAAGCACGCATGTACATTTTTTTTCTGTAGTCAAATATAGTCTGAAAAGCCTGCATACTCTAACCCCTTCTGAGGGTCACAGTGCTCCTCATTAGCATCTTCAAGGCCTAAGATGTTAACTCCCAGGATCTTCTGAAGTAATCTGACTATATAACCCTTTATTAGAGCAACAGCTGTTAGCCTCCTTCAAATGCAGTCCAAGGTAGTAATCACCAGCTATTGCAATCTCAGAAACTCTGACCCAGTGCTTAAGTGTCTTTTAAAAATATGAATCATGTAATTTTAACACTGGATATTGTGTAATTCTCTAACCAACTGCTGTGTGCTCACATTCAAGAGACATTACTATTATGCGTCCTCTGCTTGAAAACTCCGTTGACTGAAGAATTTAGCATCCCTATGACTTCTTTTTTGCCTCCTGGTAACAGAGTGTGCCACAGATACCCTTACCCAGGGTTAGAATATGCCTCTATCAGAATTCTTTTTGTGGATATTCCTTTTATGGGTATTCCAGAGTTACACAAACATAAATCCGTATGATAGTTTCTATGGTCAGAATGGTGTGTCCTCCACCTCCCCAAACGTTTATATATTACAGTCCTAATGTCCAGTGTAATACTGTTAGGAAGTGGGACCTTTAGAGAAGTGTTAAGTCATGAGGCCAGAGCTCTAATGAATGAGATCAGCATCCTTAGAAAGGAGGCCCAAGGGAGCTCATTTGTTCCCTGGACTACGTGAGGCCACAGCTAGCAGAACCCACCTGTGAACCAGAAAGTGCGCCCGTACAAGACACTGTACCCGCTGTTGCCTTGATCTTGGACTTCTCAGTCTCTAGAACTCTGAGAAATACATTTCTGTTGTTTATAACTGCCTGGTGTACAGTTTTTTGTTAAAGCAGCCTGAACGTACTGAGATGATAGTTTGTCAGTTTGATGGTAGCAGTCATGGCCCATGTGCCCTTCTTTTCTCCATGAAAACGGCCTCATTCCAGTTATCCACTATGTAGACATGATTTGGGGTTCCGTTTCTTCAATAAAAAGTCTGTTTTTCAACTTCCCATTTTGAACATGATGTGAAATGCTGAGTGCAGTTTGTGAGGCACGGTCTTACTGGCACCATGATTTCCTATACTGGGTACTGCATTTCTCTTAGAATAATAAAAACAACTTGCTAACAGTCTAATAAAAAGAATATTTTTCTCATTTACTGTTGTTTAGTAATATAAAACAAAAATCTACAGCCCTTTAGAAATGAAACCCCAGTCATGTCTGCAGAATGCAGAAAGACACAATCCATGAATCACACCAAAAGAGGTTAGCGTTCTCGTGACAAAACATCAGAGGCAATTATCTGCAGGATGAATGCCTACGAATACACTAGAAGCAAGATAAAGAAATCAGGTAATTGGTTGCGGTTACAACGTTCCCTTTTTTGGTTTGTCTTGCGGGAATATCTCTAGTCACCGAACCGTGTGACACTTGACTGCTGGCTGAGCTTAAGTCCCGTCTGTTTAACAGACACACTTAAGCTAAGTGTTGCTTGGCAGTTTAATCAAGGTTAAGGCTACAGGGCAATACGAAGGCCTCATTCGTTTTGTTCACTCAGGATTTTTAAATGGTCAGTCTTCATTTTACTTTTGCTTTGGAAGTAATGAACTCTCCGCTGATTTCATCTATTGTTGGTTTGTGAGAGACACCTAGCTGCTTCCCAACGTTAATTGTCTCTATTCTCTTGAATTATTGAGCCCAGTTTCTAGCTGAGCACATTGCTAGCTAGAAGGCTGTATATTTCAATCTGCCCTGTAATCACGTGGAGTTATGACTAAATAAATGCAAGCAAGAGAAATTCCTTGAGGAAACTTTAAGAAGTTTCCCTTTCAGGTAGGAGAGTATCTTTCTCCACTCCCTCTTTCTGTGGGAGGAATGCAGTAGAGCCATTCTGTAGCATTAACAGGTAACAGCCTACACAGACGGAACTACGATAGTGGCAAGTCAATAAAGAGACACGTCTCTTTTTCCCTGCTCCCAGTATTTGTCATAATACCCCAGAGAAGTGATAAACTGCAAAAAAGAAAAAAAAAAGACACAGGCTGGGTGCAAACTGCTGCAACCCCACCACTTTGGGAGACTGAGGTTGGAGGATCACTTGAGGCCAGGGGTTTGAAACCAGCTTGAGAAACACTGTGAGACTCCATTTCTCAAAAAGAAAAAATAAAAATTAGCTGGGCATCGTGGCACTCACCTGTTTTCCAGCTATTCAGGGACTGAGGTGGGATGATCAGTTGAGCATGGGAGGTTGAGGCTGCAATGAGCCATCAAGCCATGGCACTCCTGCCTGGGCAACAGAACAAGACCATATGTTAAAATGTCTTAAAGAAAGAAAGAAAGACATACATTTCTTCTCTCTTCATTCCAAGGTAAGTGAAGGGTTGGAGAAAGTAAATCCCCTTGTGTCAATAAATCACCTGCTGAAAGAAAGAAAAACATTGAACTGGATATGACCTTGAGGCTATAAATCAGACCGATTTATAATTCAGTCTTCCCTGTAATCAACTGTAACTGATAGTAACAGGAAATTTAAATATTCTCCCTAAAACACTGTTAAGAGACTCACTACATTTTAGGGAATGGAGCTTCATCATAGCTGGTTTTATGAAATACATTGTAGAAAAATAATCTACTTTAGGTTTATTTCTTATTAAACCGAGACTCTAACAAACTAGCTGTATTTATGTGATAGCTCAGAATTACAATATGTTTAGAAGTCAGTAAGTAAATATCTAAGTTAAATTGACCAAAATATGTGACAAAAATGAAAAGTTGGCTGGGCACAGGGGTAATAGCAGCATTCTGGGAGGTCGAGGCAGGAGGACATTCCTTTAGGCCAGGAGGTCAGCACCATCCTGTACAACATGGCATATGCTGTATCTGCAATAAATTTAAGAAATTTAGCTTTGCATGGTGGCAGATACCTCTAGTCCCAGCTACTCAAAAGGCTGAGGCAGGAGAATTGCTTGAGCTCACCAGTTTGAGGCTACAGTGAGCTATGACTGTACCACTGCATTCCAGCCTGGGCAACAAAGGGAGACCTCGTTTCTACAAAACAACAAAACTGAAAAGTCAAACAACACTTCAGTTAACATTTATCATAGATATTAATAATCATTCTGTAACAAATTGCTATTATGTGAGCTGATGAACACAGAGTGTTTCTTGCTTTGTCTATTTGAAATCTAATATCCTAATTCAAGGTAAATTTTGAGAATGTTCATTATTTCTATCGGGCACATACTTAAAAGGTACAGATATACAGATCTCTTGGACAATGTTCAAAATCTTTGAGATGAAGCTTTTATAGACTACAGAATTTTTGAGTTTTAAAAACGCAAAGTGCTACAGATACCAAACACTTTGCAACTCTTCCAGTGGGGTCTCCATAATCTTCTAATAGAACATTAATATTTCTGCATTGATGAATCCTTGAATATTCATGGTAAGTGGGATGAATAAAGACTATAAATAGCCTCATGTTGGCTTATGTTAGGTTTTAATGTCAAATGATTTCATTAAGAAAAAAATGGTTTGCAGCATTTTTTATGAATGGTAGAATCAATTATGATAGCATAGGCTGACATTATTTCATCTGTCATTTTATCTCAAATTCTGTAGGCTGCGAGAAGTTAAGCTCCTTGTCAAAAAGGACTGATTATGAGTTACATTCATATGAATAGACGAAATTTGATAAATTCTGGAAAGGGTAGGTCCTTTCTCTTCTGAGCAGAAAAGATAGAGCTATTCTGAGTGGCCCAGACATGGAGTCACCAACAGCAGCTCAAGCTGGAATGCTTGCCAGGGAGTTAGTTCCCTGCTGGTCTCCTTATCTCTTTATCCCTTTCTCATTAAAGACAGCCATGGAGGCTTGCCCCAGGAAGCCTGGTAACATGGAGAACAGCATGGTCTTCAAGTTGGCTGTCAAGCATCTCAGAGGCGGAAGACATTCAGGCACTGAGACTCTAGTCAAAATTATGTGCTGATTGTGTGAAATTGGCCCTAAGGCAATAGTAGATTTACATTCAAACTTAGCATTAGTACCTGTAATCAGATTGCTATATTATTACAAAATGACCTTTTTAAGATTTATAAATGATCTTTTTAAAGCCTTTCAGTAACTTAGGGGATAGTCTGGTGACCAAAGAGTATCTTTTCACAAGCTTATTTTGTTTTGAAACTCTGAGACATCAGTAAGTGTATGGCCACTAAAACTTTAAAATATCACTCTTTCCTGCTTATAATGTTTAATATAATAACTGATAACATTATAGCAATTATGAGAGTTTTTGTTGTATGTTTGTGATGTGGGTAATTTTTACTGTAGAAATTTAAGGTGTCAGTATTTGGTTTCCCATGTTCTTTTTTTCTCTAAGGCTTCATGATCATAAAATTGTATGTTAAGATGTCTATATCATCAATTTGCATTTCAGAGTGAACGTGAAGAGCAGAGGACACTATATTGACTCCTGACTGATATGTAACATGAGTGAAAAACTTCACTCATACCATCACTGAGATTTTTCAAGGTGCTTCTTACTACAGCATAACCCAACCTATGCTGACAGCACAGACATTGGAATCAGAAATAAGGTGTACCATGATCAAATGCCGACATATGTGCCACTGCCTTCCTGTTTAAGTGATAGAAAGCAAGAAAACTTTATTGGAAGCTGAGCAATGTCAATCCATGTAACATACGGTAAAACATGATGAAACTGTTACAAAGCACAAATCAGATTGTTGTTACTCAATGACTTGCTTACTTTGGAAAAGAACCGGACAAACTAAATGTTAGCAGCATGACTTGGTTGTTATTGGTAGCATTTCAAAAGTTACTACAAAAAGTTATAAGCCCAGACAAGAATTAACTGGTTTCCAAGCAGGAATTAAAGAGAATAAAGGTATTTCAGAAATGTGGGAACTTACAGAACTCAAAGCTTCAACTGTTTTTCAACATCAACATAAAATATAAGACTAAGAAGATCATTAAATGGAAAGATTAAAATTCAAGTTCTTGTCAAGGATTATTTTAATATCCACTGTTTAAAAAAACTGAATGAATTGAAATCTCACTCGGTTAACTGCACCAGTTGACTAAAAGGGCTTACTTAGGAAGAACAGCTAAAAGGTGAGTCTCTAGGAAAACATGTCTTTAAACAAATTCTTGATAATAATTTTTAGTTTCTCTATTAACAAAAGGTTATGTGTGAAAATAATCAAAGATGAAGTCAATTAAGATTTGAGAGTTATGCAAAAAGATTCACCAACTTCGGGAAGTTCTGAATGTTTGATACATAACAGACTCCTTTTGTATCCAATCCTCTATGGACAGGAGGAAGTGAATCGGGACACTAGCTCTTTCCTTGTTTGCAACATGTACTTTGCAGTACCCCCCATCATGAAGTGGAGTTCATTTTTTTTTTTTTTTCACTAGAATCTTGCCTGGCTTTTTGACTTGCTTTTACAAATATAATTTTGTGAACTTGGAGTTATTTTACTTCCCAATAAAAATGGTTGCTTTTGCTGTTGCCCCCTTGCAATCATGAGACTACTATGTAAAGATGTCCAGCTGTGATTGTAAACCACTAAGTATTAAGGAGATTTGTTACACAGAAATAGATAAGTAATACAAAAACTGGTACCTGGTTCTAAGAGTGATCAAGAGCAAGGGCTAGAAGAGTGATGAGGAAAATCGTCAGACGCGGGATGAAAGGTAACCCTTGTTATTTAATGATGGAAATATCAGCAGAAGTATTGCCTATGGAAATGTGAAATTTAGAAAATATGTATTTTAAAAGACCATAGATTTAGACAGGAAACTCTCTACGTAGCGTGTTGAAAGTGTCTCGTGTGCTCTGACTGCAAATGATATGATTTTGTAGAGAAAGATAAGCTAACAAAAGAACTACTCTGTTGAATGTAATTTCCATGTTGAAGAGGAATAAACTTGCATATTTAGTAATCGGCAGAGAAGACTGTAGCAGATGAATTGACTGGTCACAAATGTGGGAAGATTTTACATCCTCATTTTTAGGACAGAGTTATGCAATTTGATCAAAACAATGAAATCAGAGGGACATAAATATTGATAACAGTAACTTTAAAAAACCGGCACATAGTGTGGCATTTTCTTTCTTATATAACTTTGTTATCCTGACAGCATATTTCTAGGTGGGACCCCAACAGCCAGTGTATTTCTGATGAATACAAGCCCTTTGATAATCTGAAACAGGTATGCAGCAGAAGCAAATTTTAAATACTGATGTCATATGCTAAGAGAATTTAATGGGTTTTTATCATTGTAGCATAACATACTTAACTTGAATGCAACAAAAGGAAAAAAAAACTTGAAAAGGTTTATAATAAGTTGAAATAAATTTGCCTTCCTGCACACTCAATCACTCAGTCACCCACTGTTTACAATAAACCAAATTAACCCAGAGAGTAAAGCGGTTAAGAAACAATACATGAACCAATCTTTTTTACAGCAGTCACCTGAATTACCTTTGGAACCATTTTCTCCGAGTTCTGTTATCCTCCATTTTATTTAGTTCCTAATTAATATTTCTTGCCTGAGTATATTGTTTGTTCAATTTTATTTTTATTTTATTTATTTTTTGAGACGGAGTTTCGCTCTTGTTACCCAGGCTGGAGTGCAATGGTGTGATTTTGGCTCACGGCAACCTCTGCCTCCTGGGTTCAGGCAATTCTCCTGCCTCAGCCTCCCAAGTAGCTGGGATTACAGGCACGCGCCACCATGTCCAGCTAATTTTTTGTATTTTTAGTAGAGACGGGGTTTCACCATGTTGACCAGGATGGTCTCGATCTCTTGACCTCATGATCCACTCGCCTGGCCTCCCAAAGTGCTGAGATTACAGGCGTGAGCCACCGCGCCCAGCCTCAATTTTATTTTTAACTTCTAATTTACATTCACGGGTACATGTACAAGTTTGTTAAATAGGTAAATTGCGTGTCACGGGGGTTTGGCATACAGATTATTTCATCACCAAGTTAATAATCACAGTATGTCATAGGTTGATTTCTAATCCTCACCCTCCTCCCACCTTCCACCCTCGAGTAGGCCCCAGTGGCTCTCATTCCCTTCTTATCATCCATGTATGTCATGAGTTTGCTCCAATTTGTAAGTGAGAACTTGAATTATTTGGTTTTATGTTCCTATGTTACTTCACATAGGACAAAGGCCCCAACTCTATATGGCTGCAAAGAACACAGTCTCACTCTTTTTTATGGTTGTGTAGTATTCCATAGTGTAGATGCACCACATGCTTTTTTAATCCTGTGTACTACTGATGGACATTTAGGTTGATTCCATGTCTTTGCTTTGTGAGTAGCACTGCAGTGTGCCAGGCCAATTTTTAAAAAGGTGGGTTACCATCAAAAATAGGCCAACATATGACCAGCATTAGAGAACCTAAATCTTAGCAACTCATAACCGCAGTTAATTTTGAAGTATTGTCAATAATAATTAAAAGTATCCTGTGGGAATGTGATGGTTAATATTAGGTATCAACTTGATTGAAGGATGCCTAGCTAGCTGGTAAAGTATTGTTTCTGGGTGTGTCTGTGAGGGCGCTGCCAGAGGAGATTAACATTTGAGTTAGTGGACTGGGAGAGGAAGACCCACCCTCAATGGGGGCAGGGACCATCCAGTCAGCTCCCAGCACAGCTAGAAGGAAGCAGGCAGAAGAAGGTGGGATAAACTGGCTTGCTCAGTCTTCTGGCTTTCATCTTTCTTCCATGCTGGATGCTTCCTACCCTTGGACATCAAACCCCAGGTTACAGCAGTGGTTTGACAGGGGCTCTCAGGTCTTTGACCACAGATGGAAGGCTGCACTCGAGGCTTCCCCACTTTCGAGGCTTTTTGTCTTAGACTGAACCACTACTGGCTTCCTACCTCCTCAGCTTGCAGCCGGCCTACCCATGGGATTTCATGTGAGCCGACTCTCCTTAATAAACTCCCTTTCATATATATGTATGCCTTCTCAGTTCTTTCCCTCTGGAGAACCTTGACTAATACTGGGAACTTTGTGACTCTGCAGTAAAAAGTTAACTGAGCAGGACTGCTTACTCAAATTCTGCACATTCTCAAGAAAGGACTGGATCTTGCCTGCCTTCTGAAAGAGAACCTCTGTGTCACTGGAATACAATGCCTGATGAGTGTATTTTTGTATGCCTGAGACACTGGGTGGCGTCTATTAACTTGACCAGATACTTTATTCTACCAGTGTGACTTACGGTGAGAAACCATTTTTGTATGCCTGAGGTCCCGTGCCAGGCTGTATTAGCTGGACCTATGGGAGGCTAGAAAAGAAGCAGTTGAGTAAGTCTTGCTGATTCTGCATGCCTACAAGAAAGGCCACTAATAAATACCCTTAATGGTTAAGGTGAGCTTTCCTAATCAGCAATACTTTGCAAATGTCACATATCATTGCTGGGAGAATTAAACTTATTCCTATGAGATTCTTCTGAGAAGGAATAACTAGAAGCTTGCACATGGGATCTTCCAGACTTCACCATATGTACCTCTTTTCATATGTACTCCATACGTAGTGATAAAAATGACTATTAATATATTCTGAGATTGTTTTTATCACCTTTTATAAAAATTATAAACCAGAACAAAAGAAGGTATGTCAGAATTGTGTACATCTCTATGTTTTCTGTTATTACTTCAATTTTTTATTTCATAACTTACAGTATGACATTGATCATAGGAACCAAATAATAAATTTATACTATAATTTATCAAGAATTTAAGTACTCTAAATGCACAAGTTAGGCTAAACATTTCAGTGCAATATTTAATTTAAATAATTTAAAAATTGGTTAAATTAACAAATATCCAGCGCAATATTTAAATGATTACATAATTTAACCAATCATTTAAATTGTTAATTATTGCACTGGAAGGTTTATTAACAATTATTATTAGTAATGTAACATTAAATATCAAACAGTATTAATTAAAAATAATGTTTGTTACATTATTAATCAATGTAACATTAATTAGCAATAATGTAACAAATATTGTTTGTTACAAACATAACAATGAAATCTTACTTTAAAATAAAGGTATAATTAAATTTTTGAACTATGGAAAAAGGAATCTGATGAAATTAACTATGATTATTAAGACAATATTCTTCTATTTTATTGTCTTAAATTTTCTAAAACTATACAGTTGTTTTAATTTAAATCAGGATGTTAATGAAAACTCTATAATTCACTGAAAATATTTCAAGAGGAAGAAGCAATTCATTAAAGAACTCCTGTTTGTAATACTGAAAGGGAAAAGCAGCATAAAATCAGAAAAAGAAAAAAAAAACTTGACAAAATAAAATTGCTAAATAAATTGCATTAAACAATGAGTATAAAAGCAAATAATATTTTGTTTGAATTCAATATTTCTATCTTTATCTAGTTTACTAATTCTGTCCATTATAAGCTTCTCAGAGGAATTTTAATGACTAGCAAAACAACGTATTTTTAAAAGAGTACATATTAAAATCTCTATGTATTTTTTTCATAACATTGATTTAGCATTATATTGATGAGCATTAAATCAGTGAGCATTAAATAGATGCTAACTGCAAATCTCTTGAGCTAAGGAGTTCTAGAATACCCCGGGCATCATAGTGAGACTCTCTCTATTAAAAATAAAACAAAAATTGCTGGGCATGGTGAAAAGTACTTGTAGTCCCAGCTATCTGAGAGCCTTAGGTGGAAGGACCACCTGAGCCTGGGAGAGGGAGGGTGCAGTGAGCTGTGTTTTCTCAACTGTGATGTTAGTTTTCCCTTCATACTATAAAAAACACATAATTTTAACTATCTCTTTCATTTACGCACATAGAAATATATTACTTTTAGTATTGTAGTTAATGTACACACACATACACAGTATGAAATAAAAAACTGAATAACAGAAAACAGAGAAGTACACAATTCTGATATATCTTCTTTTTTCTGGTTTATAATTTTTATAAAAGACATGATTAAAAACAATCTCAGAATATATTAATAGTAATTTTTGTCACTACATATGGAGTGATATGTATATATATACACACACAGTGTATATATGTATAAAATACATATTTAATACCAAATATTTAATATAATTATATTTGATGTTATATTATTTATATTACATTATATAATTATGTTATATTTAATATATAATTAATACATACATGCAGTATATATAATATATATTTCTCTCTACGGTAATATGTGATATTTAATGTAATTGACCCAAGCTATGTGTTTTAAAATTTTGGATTAGATTATAATTTGAGGAAACAGTTTGTAATTAATTTTAATTTATCTCCATTACTGGGTATCAAAAAACAATAGCAATGCAAATATTTTTATTTACTTATTTATTTATTTTTTGAGACAGGTTCTCACTCTGTTGTCCAGGCTGGAGTATAATGGTGTGAACACAGCTCACTTCAACCTGTAACCCCTGTACTCAATTTGTTCTCCCACCTCAAACTCCTGAGTAGCTGGGAATATAAGCGTATGCCACCATGCCCAGCTAATTTTGTTGATTTTTAATAGAGACAAAGCAGTGCTACGTTTCCCAGGCTGTACTAGAACTCCTGACATCAAGGGATTCTCCCCGCTGCCCAGCCTCCCAAATTGCTGGGATTATAGGCATGAGTGACTGGGCCTGGCCCACAGTAAATATTTTAACAGAAAATTGTTATTGAATGTGGTTCTCTTGGACTTACTGTGTTTTTTATGGAATTCAAATATATTTTATAAGGAGACTTCTGGCGTGCTCAGGGGAAGATGACAGTCCTAGTGATAAATTTAGAACTAAAATTGTAATCTTCCCATGAACATACCAAAGATCACCAAGACATTAGAATTACGGCCAAAAATACTGAAAATATTTTGCTGAGCATTTCAGGCTTTTATTTGACAACTGGCTGTACGAAATGCAAAATACAAATGTTTTGGTATAGGGATTATATGTATCTAGATTTTAAAATGCGACAACACAAACACATAAAATGAGAGTAAATACTCTGTGTTTTAAAATTTATTAATTTCAAATGAAATTATAAAATAAAAGATTATTGTAAGTTTAGTTTGTATTTTTTAAAATTCTTGATAAACTAATAAAAAAATAAGTTTAAGGCACACCAAAAATCAAATTAACAAACTAAAACAAAATACTAAGAAATATTTGATTCAAAAAAGAATGCAGAAAAGAAGTAAAAATGAAGAAACACGATTGGACAAATAAAAGATTAGTAGTAAGATTGTAGGCTTAAAACACAAAATATTGTAAATGGACTAAAACTTCCATTTAAGACAGATTGTTAGATTTAATTTCTTAAAAGACTAGTTATGTGCTGTTTATAAGAAATAACCAGGGAGTAGAGCAACATGGATAAATAGAAGCCTATGTCTTTTGTCCCTCTTACTAAATCACCAAATTTTAACAACTATCTACACACAGAAAAGCAACATCACAAGAACAAAAAATCAGGTAAGCAATCACAGTACCTGATTTTAGTTTCATATCATGGTTTCAGTGCCACCTTAGTCACAGTAGAATAGAACATCAGGTACACGGCTAAAAGTAAACATTTCCGACATTCCCAGGGCCTGGGGGAACTCACCACCATGAAGGGAAGAGCCTTTGGCAATGCAAGTTGTGTACTGGTTCAGATCTGATCCAGAGCAGTCCTTCTAGTGGTCACAGGGGTGCTTGCATCAACACATCCTCACTTCCATGTGGCTAAGAACAGAGAGAGACACTCCATATGTTTGGGAGAGAGTAAGGGAAAAGAACAAAGTTCTCTGCCTGTTAATGCAGAGAATTTTTCCAGATCATACCCAAGACCACCAACACAATACCTTTGTGATTCTACAAAAACTATAGTATTATTTGGCTTTGGGCCCATGTCTTTTCAAATACCTGCAAAGACTGCCGGAAAAGGATAGGCTCAAACAAGGTCAGACTGGGAAGACTGCAATAAATACCTAACTCTTTAATGTCCAGAAACTGAAGAACATGAGCATCGACACCATCCAGAAAAACACAGCCTCACAAAATGAACCAAGGAGGGCAACAGGGACCAGTCCTAAAGAAACAGTGATATACAATCTTTCATATAGAAAATTCAAAATAGCTGTTTCGAGAAAAAGTCAAAGAAATTTAAAAGAACTCAAATAAGAAATTCAGAATTCTATCAGATAAATTTAACAAAGATATTGCAATAATTAAAAGCAATCAAGCAGAAATTTTGGAGCTGAAAAATGCAATTGGCATAATAAAGAAAGCATTAGAGTCCTTTAATAGCAGAATGGCTCAAACAAAAGAAAGAATTAGCCTGAAGACAAGCTATTTGAAAATACACAATCCAAGAAGACAGAATATTTTGTAAAAATGGAGCAAATCTACAGATCTAGAAAATAGCTTCAAATCTAAGAGTTATGGGTCTTAAAGAAATAGAGTAAGAAATGGGGGTAGAAAGATTTAAAGGATTTATTTAAAGGGATAGTAACGAAGAACTTGCCAAACGTAAAGAAACATATCAATGTCTAAGTACAAGAAGCTTATAGAAGACCAAGCAAATGTAACCCAAAGAAGACTACCTCAAGGCATCTAGTGATCAAACAGCCAAAGATCACGGATGAAGAAAGGATCCTAAAAGCAGCAAGAGAAAAGAAACAAAGGACATGCAATGGAGCTCCAATATATCTGGCAGCAGAGTTTTCAGTGGAAACCTTACAGGCCAAGAGAGAAACATGGTATATCTAAAGTGCTGAAGGAAAACAAACAAAAACGGCAAGAAAAAACAAGCAACTTCTACCACAGAATAGCATATCTGGCAAAAATACCTTTCAAGCATGAAGGAGAAACAAAAACCTTTCCAGAAAAACAAAGCCCAAGGAATTTCATCGACACCAGACTTGTCCTAAAGAAAAGTTAGAGGAAATTCATCAATCTGACAGAAAAGATGTTAGTGAGCAAGACGACATCGTGTGAGAGGAAACCAATTCACTGCCAACAGTAAGCACACAGAAAAACACAGATGAGTATAGTACTAACGGTGGCGTGTGAACTTCTCGTGACAAATAGAAGTGACATGATAAATCCATCAAAAAGAATAATACAACAACTTTTGAAGACATAGTACAATAAGACATAAAGAGAAACAACAAAACATTACAAGTTACGGAGATGCCATTAAAGCGTAGAGTTTTTATTACTTTTCTTTTTGTCTTTGTTTATGCAATCAGCGTTAAGTTCTCATGAGTTTAAAGTAATGGGTTACAGGAGACAGAGATTGTGTGAGCAGAGATCGTGCCAGTGCACTCCAGCCTGGGCGACAGAGTGAGACTCCATCTCAAAAATAATAAATACATAAAAATGAAAATAAAATAATGGGTTACGAGATACTATTTAGAAGCTCACAGTAACCTGAAATTGAAAAACATACAATAGTTACACAAAAAATAAAAAGCAAACTAAAGAATATCACTGGAGAAAGTCAGCAACACTAAAAGGAAGGTAGGAAGGAAGGAATAGAGAAGTCTGCAAAACAACCAGAAGACAAGTAACAAATTGGCATAAGTCCCTACTTACCAATAACAACATTGAATGTAAATGGAGAAAACTCACCCGTCAAAAGATGTAGAGTGACTGAATGAATGAAAAAGCAAGAGCCAATGATTTACTGTCCAAAAAAAGAAAAAAAAACTTTACCTATAAAGATACAAATAGACTAAAATTAAAGGGATGGAATAAGATACTCCATGACACTTTGGGAGGCCGAGGTGGATGGATCACCTGAAGTCAGGAGTTTGAGACCAGCCTGCCACATGGTGAGATCAAGTTAAACACCAATAGAACCAGAATTAAAAAAAAAAAAAAAATCTCTGAGAGGTAAATAGGTTGCCCCAAAATACAATGAAGAGGAAAATTGTATCAGCAGTTATTTGTCAAAAAAAAAAAAAAAAATATATATATATATATATATATATAAAATTAATATACTAGTCAGTGTTATAATTCAGTTGTCAGAAACTCTGAAAACTTGCTAAGTCTTCTAGGGCAAAACATGATTTGCTTGTTCCTGTATCCCCTGTATGACTAATAATGATAACATGTTGTAGTATATTCAACAATAATGTAAGAAACAACAACAAAACACATTTTCAGTTTCACAATTCTCATTAAGATACACAGTGTAACATCTTTTTTGATTTCCACGTGATATTATTACATTTATTGTGAGTAAGCTAACGTGTTTCTCAAGAAATTTGTTATTCACTAATGATATTTTCATATTTTATTACCAACATTATTAGCAAATAATTACCAACACCATCCCATACAAACTTGACATGACAGAATTTTCATATCATAAATTATGTAGCTGAAGTAGTCTAAAAAGGTATGAACATAAGTTTTATCGGAATGATTCTTAATGATATACTAACTTAATCTATTTGTAAGAAGTTAGCTGTTTAGAAATAATCTCAATTATTCAGAGACCAAAACAATTCTTTCTTTCAAGAAGAACTGATTGGAAACTTAACAAAATATGCACAGTAGAGTTTAGACAATGAATACAGAGTAGGCAGTTTCACTTTAATTTCTTCTGGTCAGTTTTGATTTTTAGTTCTCAGGCAAAGGTACCTAAGGTACCACCAGAATATTTAAACACCACAGAGAATAATTTTCACCTGTGTAAGATCCTAATATGATTTACATTGGTTTCATATTTTATAAAATCTTAAGATTTTATATTCTATAAATTGTATATTTAACACTTACATTTTATGTAGTACATTTTTTGAAAAAAAAATAAAAAATACCTTAGTAGATCATAAAAAGTGTTATAGAAAAACTGTAATAAAGTAGAATAGTTTAACAGAATATATTTTATTTGGGCTTGACACGTTTTTCAGTAAGTAAAAGACACCGAATGCGAAATCACTAACACATCATTACTAGGGCTGAGCAAATTAACTTAGTCAATTGACCCTTCTGGAAATAAAATCCTTATTGAGGTCTATAAATGTTCAATTAATTTTCCTTTCATTACCTTTCCTTTCATTCACATACACCCTTGAACTTAGTGTGCAGAGCAACTAACAAAAACTGTAGAAAAAACACAAGTATTTTCTCTGTAGCTTATAAAAGTTCAGTTTATAAGCTTTTTCTTTTTTTAACTTTTTGATGTAGATTCTATTGAACAATTCTATTTAGTGTTGGTGTCCTGAAAAATTAACTTTCTATGTTTACGTATTTTCATGATTTCCCATAGAGTATTTTTTTTTTTTAACAATAAAGCATTGTCAAAATATTGATAGATTTTTCCTTTTTTCTCTCTGTGGGTGGGGAGAGCGACAGCAAGATAGAAAGAGGGAGAGGGAGGTGGAGAGAGAAAGGAAAAATAAGGGACAGAATACAAAAAAATCAAATATAAATTCATTTTGCATATACTACAGATCAGCAGTGAACTAACGTAACATATATTATGTGAACCTATCTCATATTTAACATGAGAGCTTTACAACGCATCAAATAGGTCAACGTTTGGGGAGTTTTAGGGAGGTTTAGAATCTTGTGGTATCTAGCTGGATGAGGTTATAAAGGATAACATCGCTATTGTAAATCTAAGATTCGTGCTGGCGTTATGTTTCAGGACTTGAACTTGATGAACCAGCTGGGCCACCCGATGGATAAACTGACTCCTCTGGTCTCATGGTCCCCACCTAGGAACTGACTCAGCACAGTAAGACAGCATAGACTCCCAGTGATTTCATCTCCAACCTGACCAATCAGCACTGTTAACTCTTCAGACCTGCACCCACCAAATTATCCTTTAAAAAAATCCCAGTCTCTGAATTTTCAGGGAGAATGTTTTGATTAATAAAACTTGCTTTCCAGTTCAGCCAGCTCTGCATTAATTCAACTCTTTCTCTATTGCAATTCTTGTGTTTTACTCAATCGGGTCAATCTGGACAACAGGCAAAATGACCCCATTGAGTGGGTATATATTCAAGAAGAATGTCTGCCTTTCAGCAACGTAATGAAATTACTTCCTCTAGATACTCAACAAATAAGTTTATTTACAACTGCCTCAGATTGCAGTGTCTCTAAATTTAAGGATGATGAGTATCTTTCCTCTAGAGGAGACATCCGCTTACAACGAAACATTTGATGGTTATAGAGGATATCCTTTTATAGTTCCATCTAACTTGCATTTAGGTCAGTGTCTGATATTTTAGGAGTGCTTCTAACATGGGGTTTCATAACAGAATAAATTCTATGTAATACCTGTCAGCAGCTCTTTCACATTTGAATTATGTTGGCCACATGACAGGAAGATTGCAGTATTTTAAAGGCAGTAAAAATAGTATGCAAGAATTTCCGCTGCAAGTTATTTTTAAAGCCATTTATACTTTCAAAGCACACAAATATAGACAATTATATTATAAAACAATAAAATCACACACCTGAAATCAATTGTGGAAATGGTTTCAGATATAATATAGTCTTTGATTTAAAAGAATACCTGGAGAATAAATCTGTCAATTTCTGTTCTTGTTTTCTGAAATGATTTACGAGTGTCTTAGACTTTGAGAATTTAATTTTTTTCTATTTTGTCAAGACTGTTAATAAGACATAGACAAAGTAATGTTTGTGTAGACAATTTTAAAGTAGCAAACTATGTACAAATAAAAAGTATTATTACTGCTGTAAAGAATGAGTTTATTGCT